TAGTCTAATCTTGAGTATGCCGCAACGAATCCGGGCCGTAATACAGGCAAAGGGGTACCAGACAAAATATTAGCAATCGCAGAAGCATTTCTTTTATCTTAATTTAAAAATTGAATATGATTTGGTGGATTTGCACGGTGTTAAAATTGGGCAAAAAAGTGGTGTTGGTGCACCCAGACGCTAGTGCGAACAGACTTTTGAGTTAGTACTGTAAATAATTATATAACGCTACAGAAGATTTAAGCTGTTTTATAGCAGTCCTTCTGCAAACTGTTGCGATGTGCGTGCCCTTAATGGCTTTCCTGTCTTATTGTACTGGATAGCATCTACAAAGATAATCTAGCAACGGTTCATGTCAGTCCTTGATCAGTAGCACTAACGATGGTAGGTAAGACATGTGCTCACCTTTTTAGGCACCTTAAAACCCGATAGTTTAGATCTCATATGCTGCTTTATATCTTTCTCAGTGTTTTCGCCCTTCTCGCAATCAGAATGGAGCTTGACAGCTAGACCTGATATCATAGTAAGCCTTCTTGAGCGCAAAATATAGTTCTTTGACTCTACAAAATAAAAGATCAAAATACATACCAATTTCTTCTCCATACATAACATCAGTGATGCGAAAACATACGGCATCTGAAACTAGCTCGTACGACAAAGCTGCATGTTCAATTTCGCTGGGTCCTATCTTCACACCGCCTTTGTTTATTACTTCCTTCAGCCTCCCCACAAGTGTAAGCTGGCCTGAGGGTCGGATAGTTCCTAGATCACCAGTGCGAAAATAACCGTTGGGAAGGAATGCGTCGGCGTTCGCTTGAGGATTGTCAATGTAACCAGCCATCACATTCTTACCACGTACGCAGACCTCCCCTATGACATTCGGCTCTTTGGTCATTCTGAAATTGGTGTTTTCTTCTACTTGTGACAAATCTTCATCATCGATTTCGCAGTCCGGCAAATTGCTGGACACAAGTATGATCACGTCGACAGCATCCGCAATCGGATAGTGGCTTCTTTGCCTTTTTCCCGCACATTTCCTGTCAAAATGGTTACAAAAAATTGCTGGACCTGTTTCTGTCATACCGTAGACCTCCAACAATGGTATGCCTAATGCCGTCACTGCCTCGTACAAGTCTGGTGCCATCTCGCTACCCCCAGACCTTAGAAACCTCAGTTTAGGAGGCATGGAGGTGCGAGGAAATCTTAACAGTAATCGATGAAGGGTGGGAACGGCATGAAACCAGGTGATATCGTAATCCGTACAGTACTGCCAAAAGGTTCCGGGTAAAGAGTCTGGTATCACGGCGCAACCTCCAGTAAAAAGAGTAACCAGAAGAGAGCCGCAGACTCCAATGATATGATGGAGAGGTGTGATAATAATAGTTCGATCACTGGAAGACAATTGATGGTTCGCGATGATGATGCGCATAGCAACAAGAAGGTTTATATGACTAAGGATTACCGACTTAGGCGCCCCTGTGGTTCCACTAGTCAAGAGCATGAGGGCTCCATCTTCAGACCACACATCGTTCTTTGAGAAAACGGATGTCTCAAGCACAACGGTGGCAGGCTGAAAGTTCCTTGAAGTGGAGTCCAGAAGTTCCAGGCGAAGGTGTAATTCTGGCTTGATGCATTCCTCAACATCGCTTATTTTTCGACAAAGGGCTACACGCAGGGCTAAACCAAGCGCTGCTTGCACAACTGGAGCCGCAGGGGCTTTGTTGCTGCTTGAATCTGATGAGCTTGGAACCGTCACTACGAGATCAGGCTTCGTCCGCAAGAAGATGTCTTTATATTCGCTTTCCGTGAGTTGGGCATCGATAGGGGCCGCAATTGCTCGTTGGCGTAAAACTGAGAGGAATGAAGCGACAAAATGCAGGCCGTTAGGTAGTACTATTGCGACTTTGCAGCCTTTTGATATGCCTAAACGTGCTAAATCGCGCTGTAACAAATCGGTTATTGCCGCAAGACGTTTGTAGGAGACTTCTATTTGCGGCGCAAATCTAGTCGAAGGTGTTATGATAGCAGCGGATTCATTCTCCTCCAGGTTTTTGGGAAGAACCAGAGAGTTTAAACCGGCCGTCATGTTTCGATAACTTGAGAGAGAAGAAACTGTTTATTGGTTGTATATATTCGCGTAGGTAAGCTACTACCCATCTTTCTCAGACACTGTAGCACAATGAGATATAGTGTTTGAGACAATTGGCAAACGCATAATAGATCATGTTAGGGGCTTGAACAAGAATCGTTGAAACGGAATGCTTGGTTTGGGAACCGGCTGTCCAGTCTCAGTATCCGGCGAGCCGTCATCGCCTTTTCCATATTGGGCTTAGTGCTATATAGCGACATGAAAACACCAAGTTCTTACGGCATGATAAGTATTCGGTTGAGAGTGTGTTGAGGCTTCAGACATCCCGAGTAAACCACAGATATTACTGCCACTTATCAGATTAATCTCAAAACTATGGCCTTTCCAGACATTACTAGCCAGATGGGCATTCCCAATGGCCACACCAAACTCCGAGAAGTAACGCCCGATACATCCTTGGATGAGGTCTTCCAATATTGGGAAGAAGACGGTGGCGTTATTATAAAGGGCATTTTGACACCCACACAAGTCAAACAACTCCGGAAAGAGCTCGAACCGCTCCTCGAGAAGTTTCAGCGCGGCTCCACTACAGATATTGGACCACTTCAAAGGTTCCACGGATCACAGACAAAACGTGCAGGCGGTCTCACGAATTGCAGTGCCGTTTTTCGCGATCACTTGTTGGACAACGATTTCTTGCATGCTATTGCCGCGCGTTCCTTTGGTAAGGGGGGTCGACCGGGAATAGATGCCTATTGGATCAGCAGCGCCAACACTATCAACGTTGGTCCTGGCCAACCCGCACAAGTCCTCCATCGTGACTTGGGAAATTATCCACATTACCATTTGCTCGGTCCGGATGGCCCTGAGACACAAGTCACATTCCTTATTGCCACCGTCGGTTTTACCGACGCTAATGGTGCGACTCGAATAATCCCTGGCAGTCAGAAGTGGTCCTTTGACCGGAAATGGAGCACTGATCAAACGATTGCAAGTGAGATGGAGGCTGGCGACTGCTTGCTATTCGGAGGCAAAGTAGTTCATGGCACTGGTGCTAACATGACGGATCACGAGCGTGGATGTGTTGCATTTACCTTTTGTGCAAACCATCTAACGCCTGAGGAAGCGCATCCGCACATTTTAAACGCCGATGTTGTAAGAGGACTGTCCGAGCGCGCGCAGCGTAGCTTAGGGTTTCGCTCCCAGTATCCACGGGGAGCTCCAGGTCTCTGGATGGACGGTTACAATGAAGTGGCAGTACGTCTTGGGCTAGAAGATTCTAAATAAGCTACATTCATATAGCTCTTTACGATGAATATGTATCGTACCATTGTTCTAATAGAAGATACAAAAACTGTGAAGCTATTTTGTGTTCGAGAAGTGACTCCTTTCATTTTGCAAAAGATAATTAAAAGCACCACCTTACTGAACGTTAGTGCGTCGAAGGTTCGTGCACGAAACGCTTCTACAATCCCTAACGATTCTTTCAAGAACCAAGGTAAGGAAAAAATATACTTCGTACGATTTATGAACAATATTTGAACAAATAGGAAGACAATACTAAGCGGCATCTATACTACTAGAATCCCAAATCCTGTGACAATCCATCATATTTGCTGTAAGAACTTTTTCGAAATTAGGCTATACTCAAGACCTGTAAAGCACTACTACGAATCTGTTCTGATATACCTTGCAGTTTTCTACCCAGTAGTTTCTCTGCTGCGTCAATATCATAATCGACATGGTACCACTCGTAAGAGCCTTTGCCTCCGAAGACTGCATCTTCCGCTTTCCATAATTCTTCCGGAAACTCTCTTTGAATAATCTCCTTCACTTCATCTGGTTGGAAAGGGGTTCCCAATAAGCAAGATTGATGAGTTCCAGCATTATATGGGAATTGTGCATCGTTGCTATGATTTAACGCTCGTACGTGGGCCTGGGCAACATCATCCACATGGCAGGAGACAGCCTCGATGCGAAGGGAGCCCCACGGTTGTTTTATGAGTACGAGGCCAATGCCAAAAACATTACTACCATCCAATATATCTTCGGGAGATTGGGCAAGTCCCTTGGGGCCAAAAACATAGGTCGGCATGATGCTGACAATGTCAAAGTGCAGATTATCGGCTTTGGAGACGAAGACGTCTGTAGCATTCAATGCCGCCGTCTTGGCCGCAACATAGGCTTCTTCGCCATCATGCATCGTCTGATTAAGAGAATAGTCTGACTGACGATCGCTAGGCAAGACACGCGTGCCGATTGCCGGTGGAGAGTTATAATTGACGATTGCGGAATTGGAAGAAGTGATAACTACTCGATGAACGGAGGGAGTGTTTCGCGCGGCCTCTAAGATGTTCGAGGTACCCTTAACAGCGGGGTCAATTAGCTCCTTTTGTAAATCCTGGAATTTTCCACGATTGATTGGACTAGCAGAATGTATCACGTAGACAACATCTCGCATGGCGGAGTCGAAGGCGCCTGGTATCGTGACGTCGGGAACCTCTACAAAAGAGAGCTCTGGCGCAGTAGAAGAGCTTAGAATTTCTTTCACTGCTTCTGAGGACAAAATCAAACTTGATTTGCTCGCAGTACGAAGAACAACCCGGACGTTGTAGCCCGCTTGGAGCGCTGCGACAAGTACAGCAAAGCCAACATGGCCAGTAGCGCCAGTAAGAAGAAGAAGACTGCTTTCGTTGCTCATATTCTGGTTCATGTAATGGAAAAGAAAGTTGTAAAAGGTAGACTAGTGGGGATTTAATTGGGTCGCCGTGTAAGATAAAAAAGACGTATTGTAATGTTGAGAGCGGCGAGTCTCTCTCGGTATTACTAGTCAGATTTTGGTAGGTCGGTATTACAAAGAGGACTTCCGAAGCTTTCGGATAACGTATTTAGACAAGCACATGGATATTCTGCAACCAGGCATGTCCGTTACGTCCGCTCGTCAAAACCGAAACTCTGTTACACTGACATCGTACGTTCCAAGCGAGCGATCATGCCACGACCCTCGGTTGCTCATCATGTTTAACAGCAAAGGCTAAACGACCACACGCGATGATAAGTTATGTAATCGCGCGGGAAGCGGGGGTCCCTACTTAGCGTACGTACAGTATCTGAGCGCGTTGTCTGAGCGCTGTTCGGATGGTAAGCAGAATCCGGGTGCTCTATCCGTGCTAAGGCTTGGCTTATTAAGCTAAGTCAGCTGCGCTGACACTCGCCTGTGGCGAGTGCCGACGCTCCATACGATATTACCGTCAATACAATATTTTTTGCAAATCTATTATTTAAGCGATTGGTGAGTTGCGCACCATGACTTCAATCGCACAATCACGGCGATCACGGCAACAACGCACCCGTACGATTCTCAAATCTTCAATGGGA